CGGGAGAGGTGTGCGCTCCCAGCCTGCTCACCTCTGTCGGCTCGCCCAGCAGCTGCACCGCAGCAGCTGTTGCCGCGCCGCCCTGCCGCACCAGCACGGCCCTCAGCTGGTCCACCCCCGCGGCCACCACCCCGCGCCACGCCTCCGCATGCGCCCCCAGCGCGCGATGCAGCGCTGCCACTGCATGGTCCGGCAGCCCCGCAGCCTTCAGCGAACCCACATCCAGACCCAGTGCCGCCAGCGCCAGAGGCACGCCAGCAGCCTCTGGTCATCAAAAAGGGGGCGATCAGGGCCGCAAACAAGAATGTGGTTTTTGTGATATGTTTGCATGGAAAATCTACCATTGACCCTGACGATTTTGACCAGCAGCCTATGCTGCTTCTGGTGCTGCTACTCCTCACGATACTGCATTGCCCCAAACATATTGCTCGCACCTGCCGCCGACTTTGAGTCTTGTGTCACCAGATCCGCCAAGGACGGCAACAGCTGCGACAGGAACGCGTCAATGGGGCCGAAAAGTCCTCTTACGCTGCCGCACGTGCCGCTCGCACCAAGTCCTTTTCTCGTCGCCAGCAACGAGGATTGACCGGCCTGCGCCCCCAGCCGCACGGCTTGCAAGGTTGCGTTGTGCTGTCTTGCAGTCAAGCTCATGGATGCTGGTGTCACAGCCTCGCATCCCTCCTTGGGCAGCCGACGGGGCTGCATTGAAAACTGGGGGCTCAGAGGCGAGGGCGGCTGTGGCGGCGCTGCCGCTGTCGTTGCAGCTGCCAGGTCTATGTCCTGCCGCATCGCTGCCTGCGTCCACACCGCGTGCACAGAGGTGATATCGGCAGTCATGATTGGGCTTGCGGTGCGCAGGAAATGGTGTATTTCAGGGTCGAACGCACAGGCTGCCCGGCAACGATGCGCTGGCGACGCACCCGCACCTGCAGCCTCGCCGACATGGGATGCCGTGTTGCCTGAGAAGCGGCCATCCATAGATACGCTGTCGTATCCGCGCCTAAGCTTCAACACTCTTCACGGCTGCAGAATCCACAACCCATTACTTGTACAGTAGTGATCTGCAATCTAGTCTCAGGGCACATATCAGGCATGCAGAAGGCGATAACATACGAGTAGTCATAGCAAGCAGGCCTCGATGCGTCCTTGGCCTTCGAGATCCAGCTAGTCAAGCGCCGTGCTTGACCATAATTTGCGGCTGGGGGTTGCTGTCACAACATCGTTAATGCGAATGAATGAGAAGTAACCTTCACTATTGAATAAAGTTACTGCAGCTCGGCACTCGCTTGGTGAGCCTGCATGCGCGCGCGCGCAGCTGTCCCGGTGTTATGATACTGTACGTATTTGGTGGTTCTTGAAGCATCATCGAACTATAAAGAGGAACAGCACGGGGAGCCGTGCCTGCGATCCGCCATACCCGTTGACCGTTGCAGCTGCAAAGCGCGTATGGCGCACCGTCGGTGGCGCAACAGCCGTGCTGCAGCGGGCCGCAGCTCGAGCACATGTCAGGACCGTTAAACCCACCAGCCATATCCCTCTCTATATGCCAGGCCGATCGGTGGCTAAGGGGGACAAATCTGCTGTTGGCGTGTCCTGCTTCGCAGCGCTGCGTGCGGTAAAATGGGGCTGCGGCGCTGCGCCAACTGTGGCGACAACAGCGCATGGGCGTTGCGCGTGCTGGTGGGCGTCAACATAGCGGCGGGCTTATGTCTGGTGATACTTGGTGAGCGGGAGGTGAATTTCACTGGCAGTGAGTAACATCCATTTTACGATCGAACGCCGCCGTGGCACTGTTGGTTGCATGCAATAGCGGGGGGATGACTGACAAGCGTGGCAGCTGACGCCACACATACGGTCGCAACACTGCAGGCGCGACTGTTGAGAAGCCTATCAACAGTGCCCCGGCTGTGTGCATGATCCTCCTTGGGATTTGGAACTGGGGGACGGCTCTGAGCGGCTTGCTTGGCAGCTCGCGCTTCAGCTGCTGCCTGGACATCTTCCTGGTGCTCGAGTCTGTGTCTACCATCTTCACGCTGGTGCTGGTGGCAGAACTTTTCATGAACTTTGGCGGCGTCCTCAGTAGCATCGGTAAGAACAGCTTGCGGCACCAGGGGCTGTGCGGCAAACGCTGTCTGAAACCAGGGGAGCAGCGGCGCCCCGCAGGAGCTGATGGGCGTGTTGAAGAGCGACCCGCAAGGCCTCGCTGCTCATGCAATCGCACTGCACCCCTCCGCAATGCACCTCAGATCCACTGCAGACTGGCAAATACGATGCCATGCATGTGCGGCAGATTCTACGCGCCGCCCAGTGGCTGCTCCTCCTCTTCCTTGTGGTCCAGGTCATCGCCATTGTGATCGCCCTTCTGGTGGGGTTGATGGGGTGATTGGGGGCATTGAAAGGGGGGCAGGAAGAGGTCAAGTTTAAGAGTCTCAAAACCAATCACAAACGACACAGGATGGGTAGCCTCCTTGTGTGCACTACTCCCGCACGAATGACCTCGTTGAACGCCAGATGCGCTTCTTTATCAAGTCCGAGATGAGTGACCCAACCACAAATTTTGATGAGCACCAGCTGGCGGAGCGCGCGCTGTCAATGCAAGCGCTGCGCACTGATGTGGAAGGGGGTGGCGGCAACTCAATGCGCAACGCCAAGTGAGTTATTGGGAATCCGCCTAATCAACGGTGAGGCAGGGTGAGACTGATGGGGCAGGCAATTAGTCAAAGGGTTGGGTGACACATGCTGCACCCTCTACGAATGCACCCCCAGATACAACAAACTAATGCAAAAGATGCAAAAGTATCAGGACTTCAGCAGGATCAAGTTCAAGAAAAGGTGCGCTTGGCTGCACTTAGGGCACAGGATGCGGGGACCAGCATCGAGCAAGTGGCTTCGTCGCTATTCCTGAAAACTATGCATGGCGTGCACATGTTGCTGCTGCTAAAACAATGATTTACAACGTGCCTCGCAGCTGGTTTGGCTGGTAGGCAACACATGCTCATCAAGTCCCAGAGTGTCCTACATCGGGTAGCCGCCTTTCATCAATCTCCTTGCGTGTGCCGACTGATCTGTTTCAACGCCTGGCGCCATGTCGTCTGAGCCAAAATTGTGAACTCTTTGATCTACGCCGGCAACGACTGCTGGTTGCTGCATAGCCCTCTGCTGCACGTTTGAATACCCCCTTGTGTCGCGATCAGATCGCCAGGTCTCAATCACCTAGAGGTTTTCGCTGGTGTAGAAGGGCGGGACGCTGCCTTGGCAGGGCTCACAAGCTGATTGCCGCCGGAGACTCAAAACGATGCATACTGTGTGTGCCGCAATAGCACCCATGGCCCACCGTCACTGCACCAGCGATGTCCAGTGCACAGAATTGAAATGGAGGATACAAAGGCCGTTGACATACATGGGGCTTGTTGTGGCCAATCAGGAGTTAGTAGAGTACGAGAGTGGCAGCAGGCTCATGCTTGGCACCTGCATGGAGGTTCACATATTCACATGGGACCCGTGGAATAGCAGAGCACACGAGGACGCCCCGACTGCATGCAATGCAGCACCCTGCTATATGACTCGTCGATCGCAGGCACTTGCGGTGGCAAACTAAAATGTTGTTATCGGCCCAGGATGAAGGGAAGCTATAGCTTGGTTGCGTCGCACCTTGCACACGAGCATACGGTAGCGGAGCAGCAGCTGCGCCTAGCGACGCTACACGGCTGCATACTCCAGGCGGCAGGAGGGCGCCGGTACGTGGTTTTGTTTTGCTTTTAGCGTTAGAACTGAGTCCATCTAGGCCGGGGTGCCACTGGACATGCATTGCTCTTGACAGTGCATAGCGGATCGTTCTTTCATCATAAGTCGAAAGAAACAGCATAGAATTTCGATGGCGTGACCTGCATTGCGCGCGCTGCTCCAGCTGAGGGGGTGGAGCCGAGGACATTCGCCGGGCTGATCAGCCGCGGCTCTAGGACACGGGGCCGTGTCAGGCTCCCTGATGGGCGGAGAAGCCATGAAAGCTGTCACGGCTTCGCAGATGAGGAGCATCTGGCCCCAGGAAACGCCACGCGCAGCGCTCTTGTGAGTGCCGCTGCAGCAGTGGCGCGCATGCAAACGCAATGGGTACCACGGCACACTACAAGCATAATCAATTACCGTGCGCTTGACGCCGATTGTCATGCTCGTAAACGCGCATGCACACCACTATCGCTCGCGCTTCTGCTGTGCTCCCCGTGACCCAGGCGGGAGCTGGCGGCACTCCTGTCAGAGGACCCGGACAACCGACTGCGGGCCGCTCACGCCGAGGTGCTGCTGCAGCCGCGGCTGCCACCAGGCTTGCAAGATGTGAAGCTTGAGGCTGCGCTAGCAGGAGATTTGCCGCTCCTGCAGGTGCAGCGAGAGGCGCATGGCGACTGGCACGGGGCAGTCTTGCGGCTGGACACAGCGGCGCTTGAGGATGCCCTCGTCCATGGCGTAGCGGCAGAGAGTACCGAGGCACAGACGCCAGCGCCCATGGTCAAGCATGATGGGGCAGAGGACGAACGGCTTTCCGGGGCTGTCGAGGCGGCGTGGCCCAATGCGGTACGTTCTCTTTTGGCAAACAGAGGCCCTGTTGCGTCTGGATGCGCGTGCATGCTTTCATGTACCTGACATGCCAGTCCCGTGCATGATCACAGGTTGCTGAATGCAGCGAATGCGCGCGAATTCCTCCTCCTGTGCAGGGTGACGACGACGACTACCTCGCGAGGGCCATCGCAGCCGCTCTGCTGCAGCACCAGGACGCAAAAGGCCAACTGCCACGCCACACGCTGCACCTCACAGACATTGGTGGCCACCTTCGCACTGGCGCGGCTGGCGATGCCCGTCTGGCTGCCATATTCCCACGCAACCGGGATCAGGCGGGTGCAGCAGCAGCAAATGGGTCTGCGGCGGCACGGCGGCTCAGCAGCGGCAGCGGCAGTGGCGGCAAGGACACCAAGCTGAAGCCCCGCCTGAGCGAGTTTGTTTGCCAGCCGCGATGCAGCCCCTACTTCCGGGTCATGGAGTCACAGGTGTGTGGATCTGCAATAATGTTGTTCAGCTGAGCGCTACGTTTGTTTGTGAGGAACATATGGCTTTGCTGGCCGCAGTCAAAACTGAAGGTGCCCTTGTGTCCAGCAATGTTGTTGCACACGGCTGCCTTTGAAGCGAGTTTTGCCCCCCAAAACCCCACTTATTCAACAGGTACGCAAGGGCGAGAAGGCCCTGGTACTTCTTACGGACGCGCTGCTCATCAACCTGGCGCGGCAGCGCGCTGCAAAGCAGCATAGGCCCGGGCGACACCAGCAGCAGCGGCAGCCGCATCAGCACGAGCAGCAGCCACAGCCACTCCCGCTGCCGCCGCCGCAGCCGCAGCCGCAGCCACTCCCGCCGCCGCTGCAGCAGCCGCAGCAGCCGCACCTACCGCAGCAACAGCTGCAGCCGCAGCAGCCGCAGCAGCAGGAGCAGCGGCAGCAGCCGCAGCAGCAGCCGCAGCAGCAGCAGCAGCTGCAGCAGCCGCAGCAGCAGCAACAGCAGCAGCAGCAGCAGCAGCAGCAGCAGCAGCAGCCGCCGCAGCAGCATGAGCAGCAGCCGCCGGTCCGAGGTCGCCAGCAGCCCGATGGCAAGCCTGGGTGCGAGGCAGACTCTCCTCTGGACGGGCCACGCAGCAGCGCACCAGGGGTGGTGGGGCCCCCTGCCTCACCGCTGACGTGTGACGTCCCAGGGCCTCTCTGGGCGCCGTTTGGCGTGGGAGCCGCCAGCAACAAGCCTCCCGCAGGCTGGGCCAGCGGCGGCGCGGCGACTGCGGCATCCATCACGACTGACTGCTCACCCCTAGGCGGATTCCAGCAGCACGCGAGGTCGGCATTCGGGTCTGCTCCATCAGGTGGCGGTGTTTCGCACAGCGGCGACGGCGTCGATGGAAATGGCAGGTACCTGTTTGGGGAGATGCCGCAGCCGCAACACGGCGCGCTGTACCGGGGCAGCGGCCTGTTTGGCAGCAGCGATGCCAGCACCACCACGGGCATGGGGGTCCCCAGCCTGGGACCATGCGGGGAGCTGGAGCCGCTCACGCCCGGTACGTTTGGCGTGGCCCGCTGGGGCTCAGGGGTGGTGTCGAGCAGCGTGCAGGTCGCACCGGGCGCGGCTACGCCCTTGCCCATGCTGCAGCCGCTGGTGGGCTCTTTCTCTATGGGCACGGGCCTTGGCCTGGGAACGCTGCTGCGTGGTTTTGGTACCGACACCAGCAGCGGCAGCCTGCCGGTCACCGAACCGCCTGGCGACGGCGTGGGCTTCGGGGTTGCGTCCGGCGCGCTGGCGGACGCCCACATGTTCGGCTCCACGCCTGGCCGCCACACACCGTGGGCCGTCGGCCTGCCGCTGGGGTCGTCGCCGCTGGATTTGGTGCCGCGCTCTATTGCCAGCGTCTGGGGGGCCCCGGGTCCTGAAGGGAGCGAGCCTGCCCACGAAGCAGGGACTCGGGAGTCGCCGGGCAGCTTTGGTGCGCAGCAGCAGCAGCAGCAGCAGCAGCAGCAGCAGCAGCAGCAGCAGCAGCAGCAGCAGCAGCAGCAACAGCAGCAGCAGCAGCAGCAGCAGCAGCAGCAGCAGCAGCAGGACCAGCAACAGGTCGAGCAGCCACGACACGAGGTCCGGGAGGCGCTTGAAGTGAAGCTGGGTGGGCAGGACGAGGAGCAAGGGGCTACCATGAGCAACTCTGGCAGCAGCGGCGGCCTGCTTTTGCTCCGCGGGGTCGGCGGCAGTGCGGGCATTGCCCCAGAAAGCAGCATACCTGAGACCGGCAGCAGCTCGCCCGTCTCGGCGGTCGGCTCCGAGGCACGGCCGGATGCTCACAACAGCATCGACGTTAACAGCAGCGGCAGCGGTGGCATCAGCGGCGGTGGTGGCAGCGGTGGCAGCAGCAGTGGGCAGCTCGAGGCCGCAGCAACGATTCCCACTGCAGTGGCATCCGTTGAGGAGGAAGGCACGGAGGAGGAGGGGACAGACGGGGTGCACAAAGTGGTTCGCAGCGAAAACGACAGCACCGCAGGGTGTGAAGGGTCAGGGGGGCCCGACAGGACAGAGGCCTGCTCTGTCAGCAGCAGCGGTGGCGAGTCGGATTCCGCACAGGGGGAGATTGCAGATTCGGAGGCAGAAGGTGGCACCGGCAGCACGGCACCCCGCCTGACGGGCTGGGCGCTGGTGGCTGCCAAGACACCGGCGCGGCTGACCAAGGGAACGGGCGTGCAGCAGGCTGTGTCTGCACCGCGCTCAGGTGCATGACCGGGCTGGTGTTTATGAGTGACTCGCGAGCTATGGTACCAGGGATCATCAACATGTGTGAATTCCCCTTGGCGTGTACTTTTAATGGCTGGAAGTTGTCATTGTGTGTCTTTGGCTGGCTTACGTTCGCCCCATGCATCCCCCCGTGTGCCTCACAGTCCCCGCCCCCAAGGACCCATCAGTCGTGATGGCTCCCATGGGCGGGGTGCAGGCCAGCGGACTGGCTGGCCGGCGCAGCGACGCGCCCCGTGCGCCGCTGGCGCGGCTGCACCCAAACGTGCGCGACGAGGTGGAGCGGCTGATTGCCAAGCTGGGGGGCGTCGTCAGGGTGAGCAGGACCCGCAGGCCCGCAACCGCAGGGCGACAGCGCCGCGCCGCGTGGCGCGCTCCCTCAGGAACACGATCGTGCAGCGCGTTCGCTGACGCCACGTCTCTGACGGTGTTGCACAGCGCACCTGGTCCCATGGTCACCTCGTACCACCTGCCTTAGTCCTCAGCCGTGGCCGGCCCTTCACCGTCCTCGCTTCCCACGCTGCCATTTTCGCAACGCCCTCCCTACAAATCCCAGGTTGAGGACTTTGACGAGGGGGTGGTCCACCAGCTCAATGCAAAGCGCACCTGGGAGGAGGCGGCGGAGGCTGTGCGGCATTTGGCCTCGTATGACCTGGCTCCCATCCAGCATCCCGCAGCCTACATCAACCACATCATCAAGCACACACCTGGGGCTGCCAACGGCACGGGCAGCGCCAGTGCAGGCGCCCCCAACGGCCAAATCCGCCTGGCCAGCGTCCCCATCAGCACCAAGGTGCGTCGGGCGCTCGATGGGCTTGGGCTTGACCAGCGGAGGCGAGACAGGCTTGCCGCAACCGGGTTAGTAGGAAATCCAGAATTCTTCTTGGCAGCTCCGTTGTTGCATGTCACCCCGCGCCTCCCCGTGTGCCGTGTCCTCGCCTCCCCGGCCAGGCCATGCTCCACAAGTGTGGTGTGCGCGTGTACCGCCGTGTGGAGGAGGCCGTGTCGTCATCGTCTCACCTTCAGTGGCACCATTTTGACGCGGGGGTCGTCAAGGTGGGGCCGAGCAGTGCTTGAATGAGAAAAAGGAGGTCATTGGCAACTCCTCATGTGCCTTTCATTGATGGACACCTGCCCTGCTTCTCGGCACACCCTCACTGGCAATTTGCACGGGCTAGGCTTTACAGTGTGATGTGCCCCGCCCTGATCAGGTAGACTCTGCTTCCTGCTTTTGCACGCTATGCTGTTCACTTGTCCCTCCCATTTACGCCAGGTGCTGGCTGAGCTGGCCAAGCTGTCTGAGGAGGACGTGTTTGACGAGCTCGAGGTGCGGGCGTGCGTATTGTGGGAGAGGGTGTTTGTGGCTCCGAGCTTTGAGACGCGTCGCAGCAAGCATGTACTGCCGTTACGGCGCGCCGCTGCCCGGCAGCTGCCCTGGCTGCTGACGGCCAAAAGCGCGACGACGCTTGCGGCGCGCCATGAGTGGTTTTTGGCAAGTCACTAACGCCACGATCAACAGCGAGTAACAGCGAGGTTTCGATTGGCCTGGGCCCCCGTCGCCACCCGAACGAGGGCTGCCCCCACAGTCAGTTTGGTTCCCCCACAGGGAGCTTGTGCAGCAACCCTGAGCACACGTGCCTCTGGCCTTCATGTGATTTGCGGCGCCCGTTCCCTATTATCATGGCCTCCCTCACCCCTCCCCTTCACCTGGCATGGGCGTCACACTTGCCCCTTTTCCACGTGTGTGCCCCCCAAGGCCCTGAAGCGGTCCGACCTCAAGAGCCTGCAGCACGTCCCGGCCTACCTCAACAAGCGGCTCAACAACAGGCTCTGGCAGAGGCGCAAAGCGCGCGGAGACTAGCTCCGCACCCACTGGGCAGGTGGAGTTGCAGGCTGCAATCTCAGGCCACCCTGGCTTGTGAGCAGCTATCCGAACGCCAGGGGTCCCTTCGTGTGAGCGGCGACGTCCGCTGTTCCCCTTGTATTTTATGCGGACGGGGTGCCTTGTTTGGTACCGCTGGGGTTTGTGCGCGTAGCTTGTGCCAACATGCAAGCCCAAATTCATCAAACAGGGCACAACGCTGAAGCCCTCTGGTTGCCAGGGGAGCTGCGTACGTGCTCATTCCTCTGCAGCAGGTGCATAGCAATGCTGCACCCCTAGCGCAAGGGAGGTTCATGATCGTTCGTGGAGCCCCTTTGTCGCTTTCTCCCAATTGCAATGCGTGCGGGTCTCAAGCACACACGCGCAGCTCGTGACGCTTCCATGGCCTCCACAAGTTGTAATGCACACGCAACATTGCGCTAGCTGAGGTCAGCTTCAAATGGGCCGGCTTTGTCAGGCCCAGCTCACATTGGGGCTGGTCAGCCCCAGTGGCTAGGCAGCCCCAATGTGCGAGCTATCATCGCTGTGACTGATCAGCCCCAGTGGCTAGGCAGCCCCAATGTGCAAGCTATCATGATGCAGCACGTTTCGAGCAAGTGGTGATCGGTCTGCGCATCGCTCCCCCGGATGGCCTTGATTCTCAAAGATAAAATCAAAAAGAAGCCTCTCTGCTGGACGTGGTGGGAATGTTTGCGGTAACATTCCTAGGACCAATTCTAGGTACAGGACTCCTTTATTTCCCGCACTGGCCTCATGTCTACATGTCGGCAAGGCATCCAAGGCCTTAGCCCATCCTTGCCTGCCTGTGTGATTTGTCAAACACGAATTAGTAACGGACAGCTGATGCTTGACTGTTGAAGGTGAGGTTTCTGCAGGCAAGCATGAGAGCAAGTTCGTTCTTTATCTTCTTTGTACTTCTGCTGAGCAGGGTGGAGGAGGGCGTATGATTGGCCGGTGGCGTGTCCGGGTTGTGCCTCCGGGTTGTGGCGGCGGACAGCGCAAGTGAACAAAAGATGAGCCCTGCAGCTGGCCCAGCCTGTCACACGCTGTCTCGATCTCTCATTCCTGTTCAATAGTTTCAGCAATTTGACATTGTGCACCCGTGCGCCACTTGAAAACGCGCACACGGCACAGATCAGCGAGTTGGCAACAAACTGGCTCGCGAGGATCCACCTACGTACTGGGCCACTGCTTTCGAGCAACAGTTCGTAGCAGAGGACGGGAGTATGGGGCAGGCGGAAAGCAGGCAGGATGAAGGCGGAGCGCACGCGGCCACTGAGGGCCTCGCCCGTCTGCAGGCCATCACGGTGGGCGAGGATAAGCGAGGCGTTTGGAGCCGTGCGTCGGGGCCGATCGGCACCTGGCCCGAAGCTCAGTGCTGTTTTCACTGTGGCGCCGGACAGCGTGCTTCACAGTACAGTAGAGTACGCACATGGCGCATGGTGCTCGGTGCATGCACCGGGGACCCTTGTGACCTGCGGCTGTTGCGTGAACGCATGCGCACACGCGTCTTGCCCATGCCCGCATGTGAAGGGCGCCAAAGGCCCGGACGCGAAATTGAAGCCTCGCGGCAACAAGGCCGCCGCCAGTGATCACGACTTCATCAAGGTGTGCTTGGTTGCGCTGCTGCCATAATCCGCTTTCAAACCAGAGCGGCGCCGCCTGGTTGCACCCCATGATGTCGCACTCTGTGTTACCGCCCCCGGGAACTTGACTTGCCTGACCAGCCCACCATGGCCTCCAATGTGAGTGCACTTGCAACCTCGTTGACCACACCGTGCTTTCTGCAGAGCTCGCTGTGCAACCTGCTGCTCTTTGGGCGCCTGGACAACGTGGCCCAGGTCAAGATAGCAGACAGCATGTGGGAGCGTGTTGTCCCCGCAGGCGAGATTCTAATTCAGGAGGGCGAGGTGGGGCTGGCCGCCACCGAGCTGTACGTCGTCAAGGAGGGCAAGTTTGAGGTGCGCGCTGAACAACAGCCGGGCTTGGGCCCACAGTGGCCATGTCCCTTGACCAAGAGGTCAGCATGGGTCTGGCGAGCCTGCGCCTGGGCCCATCAGCCTCGGCAGCCAGTTTGGCTGATCTCATGCTTGATGCCCGCTGCAGGTCCTGGAGCGCCGGAAGGGGGTCAACATGCGCGTCAACGTCAAGGAGCGCGGGGACGTGTTTGGCGAGGTGTCCCTGATGTACAACTGCCCTCGCAC